GTGGGGATCCGTTGCTCTGACCACGTGACACCCTCCATCCGCAAAAGTTGGCACTAACTTCGCCGACAAGCGGAGGTCGCTCGGTCGGTATAGTTCGCTTGCGGGCAAAAACCACGGAGTGTGTTTGTTTTGTTTGTTATGAGTGAAGATGACCTGCTTGTTAGTTTTGTATTTGTGTGTGTGTGGATAGGTAGGCCAGGATTAGGGGCATGAATGGCTATTTCATTAGCAAGTCTGTTGAATATAGCTCTGGATAATGCATTGACACTGATACTGAGCATTATGAACAGTTTTACTTCATGGTAAATGTTACTCGTTGGTTCTAAATGATTATGATGATGGTGAATATAATTCAGAATTTATGGATTTTTTAACTTTCTCCGTTGTCTATTGTTCTAGAAACTAGCGAACATGACGTGTCGGAACCAGGTTCTGTTTCCATCATCATGTGAGGGGGAGATACCTGTTCTGTTAGGTCTCTTAAAAACAGCTGACCTCCATCACTAGTAGAATTCTGTGTGTTTACTTAGTGGATTAAATCTGCGTGTGGTTTCATGTTAAGGAATATAAGTGAAGTATGTACATTTTGTTAGGGATACTGCATTTTTTTAATTAAGTTCTGAATTATGAAAAGTATTTTATGAACTTTTCTTGCCTAAATTTACAGGCATTTACTCAGAGAGAATAACCGCAGTGAACAGTGTGGGACAGATAATTGTTATGGTAACAGCCCGCTGAAATCAGTGTGACATATAGAGTATTAATACTGTGGCGTATAGACCCGTTGCCAAGCGGTGACTCTGTATCTAGGTAATGCCCGCAACATACAGTACACAACAACAGAGGAACTGTGTTTTAGTTAGTCCGTACAGAGCTGTTATAACCAGGGCAGTTAGTTGAGCGATGAGTTGCTGCAATATATGAGGCTAACGGACCACGTGACCCTTAGTTTCAACAGTATGTCAACGGTCGCGGTGTTCTTTGACACTGAAAAGGTCTTTGATACCACATAGCACTCTGGCTTGCTATGTAAGTTATATAAATTGGAATTTTCGACCAGTTTGATCAAGCTCATTAGTTTCTTTCTTTCACAAAGCAAATTCAGTGTTTCGGTAGAAGGCGAAATGTCATCGTCAAGAGAAATCCGAGCAGGAGGTGTCTCAGGGTTCTGTCCTGTCCTCTACTCTGTACAACGCGTATATAAATGATGCCACCCGAACACCTGGTGTTTTCCTAGCCCTCTTTGCCGACGACACTTGTCTGTACTCGACAGATCGAAAGGAGGGCTTTGTTGTCAGAAAACTTCAGCGTGGTCTCCTTTTAGTGCAGATCTGGCGTGAGCGCTGGAGTATTAAAATAAACGAAGATAAGACTCAAGGGATTTATTTTCTCGCAGTCGTCGACCGCGTGAGAACCATCTTACACTGAATGGGTGAAACATTCCATTTGTAAAAAGCGTAAAATACGCGTATGTCGGCGTAATCTTTGGTGAGAAAGTTACATGGAGATTACACGTAGAAATGGTCTTTCAGAACATTTGTTAGAATATAGTCCCCATTCAAAAGTGAGCGATTAAGCAGTTAACATTAAACTGACCCTCCACAAAGCACTCATTTGGAGCATCATGACATATGTTTTGCCCCACCTTGAAATTTGAAGCAGACAACCATCTGCTGAAATTGCAGAGCCTGCAAAACAAAGTTCTCTGCACCATTGAAAATTTTCCAAGGCGCACACCGGTTCGTGATTTACACGTGGCTTTCAAACTTCCGTATATATATATATATATATGATTATGTAACAAAATTATGCAGGCAACAAGCAGAAGTTATATAAAATCATGAAAATGCAAATGTTCGCAACAGTGAACAAGACGAACCCCCAACACAGGAAGTATAAGCGTCTTAAACTGGGCGGTGGTCAAGCATACGACCGTTCAAGTGACTAGACTGATGTTGTAGCAGGAGCTACTAATAATAGGGCATGATCTGCTGTACTGAGCCTGGACTGATAGAGACCCTGTGTATGTTGTGTATACATATATTTAATAACATGTAAAATATAAATTGTACATACTGACAAAAACTGAGGCACTATGCTACAAGCCGGAAGGTCGCGGCTTCAACTGCCGATGAGGTCATTGGATTTTTTTCAATTGACCTAATCCTTCCGGCCCCACTATGGCCCTGGGGTCGACTCAGCCTCTAACAGAGAAAGTACCAAGAATTAATTAAATAATTTTCCTGAGGAGTAAAGCGCGGCCTGCACGTAAGGCTGACAACCTTACCGCCATCTTTGAGCCGATTGTCTAGATAATGTGGGACCCTCAACGTCTCACAACCCTATGGGCCTTCACGGCCTGTTAACAAGAATAGCTTTACTTTTTTCTTTACTGACGAAAGACTTATTACTGCTGACTGTGACTCTGGCCAACGACAGACCCGTCCTCTCGTTAGAGAGAGCTCCCCACATCAACAAGCCTGCAGCTGTCTGACAATAAAGATAGATAGAGGTGATTGGTCCGTTTCACGCCTTGGCCACTTTACCCCTGGGGAAAGCGCCCACTGTACCAATTGGACAGGAGCCTGGGTGGGCCTCCGGAGCCAGTCTGAACTCTGTGGAATAGAGAAAACCTCTTGCCACTGCCAGGAATCGAACCTCGGCCGTCCAGCCTATAGCCCGTCGCTACACCGACCGAACTCTCCCGGCTCCTTAGGGAAGACCGAGGAAACTTGGAGAAAACCCAGCTCCAGCGCAACTTCGTTCAGTACGAATCTCATTACATTGAACCCGAGGCTCCATCGCGAACTGGCCCAATAACTAGTTATCGTTGACAGCAAACGTAAAAGTGCCAAACTTGGGGAGTTTTCCTCGAACGCCAGACACACGTAGTTACCTGCTTGCTCAGTAACAATGATTGGAAGAGCCTAAGTTGTTTTCTGAACCCACAGATGTTCACTGTAACGCGCTGCACTCGTTAAATTGCTCTCACGCCTTCATCAGGATGTCTGTGCCCTACGTGATCAACATCTGTGTTTGCCCTCTGCGTCTGCCTGGGATGATGAATGGCATGTAGTCAGTACCACCTTACAGGCTCAATGCAAGGAACGTCTGGATGTCTGCATGGTGTCCCATGAAGCGTCTCTCAAGCTCTTCGTTGTCATTTTATTTGTTTTGTTAGTTTTCAGCAATAGCTCTGTAAAAGGCTAAGAATCGGACCCATACTGGTAATGTATGTTTCACTCATAATCATCCAGTGAATAAGTTATTGTCCTAATGTATACTGGAGCCGGGAAAACGCAGTAGGTATAGCGACTGGCTACGGGCTGGACGACAGAAGGGCCAGTGTTCGAGTCCCGGTAAGATCAAAAATTTTCTCCACTCTTCCAGTCCGGTTCTGGGGCCCGTCCAACCTTCTGTCTAATGGATACCGGAGGCTCTTTTCCCGGGGGTAAAGTGTCCGGGGCGTGAACCTGACCACTCACCTCCAGCTAGTGCCGAGGCTAAGAAAACATGGATCTTTTTCTGTCCCCATACGTTTTCATGGCGTAGTGCTTAATTAGCTAAGCAATAAGGACAGCTTTACCGTACCTTTTACCTATTAGGTTGGTGTAGCGGTAACGCTCTAGACCTGTATTAGGTTCGAATCTGAACCGGGACATCGGCTATCTTGGTGGTTTTCCTCAGTTCAAAGACGCAAATGCCGGTATGTACCTCGATTAGGCTGCGGATAATTCCATCCAGATCTTTTCTGTTTCATGATTTACTGATCCTACTATTTGACGCCATAGAAGTAGTCTAGATTCCGGCAGTGTCTTAATATAAACCGTAAAAAGCGAACTGTTGAAATTTGGAAGACGTTTATTTGGTTGCCTCGAGACAGCCAATAAAGTTATGCCATGAAGACGTATGGTGAAGTGGAGGATACTTCCATGCATTCGTAACCTAGATATTAGATGTATGTGAATGGTTAGCTTCATGCTGTGGTACCCATGGGGGTAGGAGGCTGGGTGGACCCCGGAGCCGGTCTGGACGCAGTATAGATGATATAAATGACCGTGGTTTTAGTCCGCAAGCGAACTATACCGACAGAGCTACCGCCGCTTGTCAGCCTAGTTAGTGCCAGCTTTAGCGGATAGAGGGTGTCATGTGGTCAGCGCATCGGATCCCCACGGCCTTTAATTTCTGTTTTCTAGACCGGATAAAACGCTTGTAAAATATTTGCTATTTTTTAGATTATCATGCCATGGTTACTTCTGTTGTACAAACGTGTTGTGGATCTGGTGTACATTTTTTAGTGTGTTGGTTTTTTTCTTGTGTGCTGTTTGCAGTGTAGCTGCTCTCTTTTTTTTACACAGAGCGAAAGAAAGAAACCAACACCCCAAAAACATACACCAGTCCCACAACATGTTTGCACAATAAAATAACCGTGGCAAGATAATCTAAAAAATGAGTATTTTACAAGTATAAGCCTTTTACATTACACGTAAAATGCAAAATACAGCAGCGTAACAACAGAGCAGCAGTTTTTATGTACAGTCTTATACACCCGATGGTGGCCATTTAGGCCGAAACATGCAGTGTTAAACAAATAATAAGTGACAAAGAGTGTGAATTTTAATGTGTGCGACGATGCTTAGAGACTGTGAAGTGAGAATGCTGAATAGGAATACAGGGTGCAGCAGCATGCTGCTATACCATATCATTTAACTCTAGGTTTGGCATATAATAATGTTAGCTTTTGAAGAAGCACTCTTCACCGTGGAATTAGTTCTTTGGCAATATTAGGATCCTCGAATGTTTATGCTTTTCTTATTATCGCAAATTTTGCGTACTTTGTACTCGTACGTGGATCATATGGGAAACACAGTTTGGGAACCTTTTGTGAATAGTTCAGGGAAATTGTATAAACACGTCTATAGGCAGGGATGTACCTTTTGCTCAGGTCAAGGTCATATCGTAATCTCACAGTACTGCTGTATTGTCCTGTCCTGTTGCAGGTAGAGCGGAAGAAGACGAAGAGGTGGGGGTAGGAGTGGTGTCCTTGACCGACTAATTTTCCCCTCGGCTGTAATATATGTATACTGTGTCGAAAACATCTTTGTGGGTGTGTCATTGTCAGATAGTGATGTAGATCTTTATATCGTCATTAGAAAGGTACAAGATTACATTTTCAACATACGATCGGAAATAAATTCGCCATACACGAGATATCGAACACATGACGTTCCATTCCAGAGGTTGCCTACTCGAGGTAAGACGTACCTTCAAAGATGTTTATAGCAGTGGTTCCCAAGCAGAGGGCTTAGGCAAGGAGAACGTAATCAGTTTTGATATCAAATCTAGCAGAAATACTTTATAACCGTTTCGTCTGAATTTGGCCATCTTTTCAACATCCTGTTGCATGGATCGAATGTTAGTAGTAGGACCGAGAATAAACATTAAGCGTTAATCTTGGTATTCATAATCAGAGAGATTAGTTTAAACATTTGTCGGTATTATTCATCGCTAAGGAAACACATTGTAACGTTATTATTCAAAGAGCTTTTCTCACGGTTTTGGTATGTTTGTAATTATGAGTTAGTTAATGGTAAACATTCCACCAATTGCTCCACAATCACCCTCACCTATCATCTGGGGCTGGTACAATAGGCCAGAAGTGGCAGTACAAGGGACTTAGTCCCACCCCACTAGCAAAAAAAAACAGTGATCTAAATAAGAGTGAAGAGGGTTAAGGCGGGTTTACACTAAGGCAACCATTGGCAACCGCGCCGCACGCCTCGCGATCGCATGCGGCTTGCGTCCCACCTCCTCTTGTTGCTCCAGGCCGCAAGGTTATCCATCGCTAGTGGGTTCAGTTGCCTACACGCATGCGGCATGATGAGTTGGGACACGGATAAAGCCAAGTGTCTTATCAAAGAATACCGCGAAAAGAGGATTCTGTGGGATTTGCGGGATCCCATTTATAAAGACATTCGGAAGAAGTTAAAGCTATGGGAGGAATTAGCCACGAAGTTTGAATGTTCGGTGAAGGAAGCGAAAGAAAAAGTTACAAATCTCAGAACGACCTTCCACAGGTATAGAAAGAAGAAGAACGGATCCGCCAAAGGTGATCAGTGGGTGCACTTCCCTTCATTCAGTTTCCTTCTTGAGATTGACGCACCAAAAAGAGGACTTCCTACACAAGCTGACGTAAAAATTGAAGCAACCAGTCGCTCTGGGTGTAAATGGGGTCGGTCGCATGCGGGAACGGTTGCTTCTGGCCGCATTCTGCTTGATAAATTGGACGGCAAACATAGTCGCCCGACAAGGGCAGCTAGGTTGCTTTAAGTTGCCCCAATGTAAACCCGCCTTTAGTTGTATGTCCATAAAATGTGTCGGTTTCGCATAAGGGTTTTGTGAAAACCGAATGGGCGTGTGTCGTGTGAAAAAGTTCGGGAAATTTTATTTTAAGCACAGTATACTACGATAGTTTCAAGTAGCCCGAACGAAAACGTACAAGATTATTAAATTTATATATTATGAGAGAGTAATGTGTTTTCGGAGAGAAAAAGGTTCTTAAATTGTCTTATAAATCCCAGTTTTTATTAATTATTACGTCATAATATTCATATCATACCGAATAGTTGTAAACTTTGCGTCTTGAAATAACAACATTGCCGCGAGAGTTTCCTGAAAGTCGCTATTTGCAAACAAGCAGAAAGGCAGTAGTAGATTTCGCTCGGTCACAGAGATATTTTAAATTTTACATAAAAAGTAACCATCGGAAGTTGCTTATTTTTAGAAGACATGTCTGTCAGCTCACTGCATTTTACAACCTTATAACTTAAAGGCGCCAGCATTTCCTCCACCACATAAGTTCGCATGATCTTCAGGTTGGTATGTTTAATGCGAAAGTGGTGTGGCATAACGCTAAGACTTTACAGTGGGTGCCATTCAGCATGTAAGAACATATGTTATTCGTTTTATCTTAAGTCTGCTGGTGGTTAACAGAACCCTCACCTGACTGGCGATGTACGTGTTTTCTGGGTAATCTCTTCGGTGTGCACCGACGTTTTAGTGGAACATGTCTACATGTTTAAAGTAGAAGTGCATTTTAATTAAAACGAACTCAGTAAGTATAGTGACTATGCCACAGGCTGGACCACCTAGGAATGGCGGTTCGATTTCTAACAAGAAATCACTTCATAATTAACTTCGTGAAGCTGAGCCCTTCTTGAAAAGTCGCCATATGTTCAGCTAGTGAAAACCTTCCCAACATTTTATGGAACCCGACCACTCTGTCATATCCTGAGCCAGACGAATCAAGTCGATACCACCCCATCCTATCTCTCTAAGGTCCATTTCAATATTATCAGTCCACCTGCATCTTGGTTTTCCTAGTGGGCTCTTTCCTTTTAGTTTTCGCACCAGTATTTTCCTAACAGGGGCAAGTGACTTCTCTTCTGCGCAGCTTCCAGACCGGTTCCTATTCAGTCGTACCGGGAATGAAGTCTGAATGTTTGCATACCATCATTAGTTTTCCAAATTTATACTCAGCTTTTATATTTTTATGTATTTAGGCCTACATCTATTATCTGCAAAAGCATCGCTTTTGAAAGACGCGCAGTACAAATTTCTATACCCGCTTAATTTACTCTCATTGCTTTAGCATTTTCAATTTCAGGTCTGTCCTAATATAAATTTGCATTTGCTGGTTCATAAAGTATCACATGCGACTTGTATATTCAATAGGTTGATACAGATAGTTTTATCGTAAGCTGTTCGATTATCACACGAATGTCCCTCACACTGTGATATATGGCTTGTTTGTTTGTTTGTATTCCTGTATTACTGGCAACACCTGGAGGTAGACCAATCACTGTGTGTCATTGTAAACGAGTATCAGCCTTACCATTCTGCTCGAATAGTTGTCGCACGTGACCTGCTACCTCCATTTTTGGATGCCTGAATATTCCCGCGGTCACAGGTAGAGAGTATCAGTGTTAACAGTAATCATCTGATATTAAAGCTTTTACGTGACTGGATGTGCAATTTCTTGTTGTTTTGGGGTGAGGGTGTTAGACGTATTTATTTGTTTTCGTTAACTTTATTCCTTCGCGAACACTACAGTTCGTCCAATACCGGAATTGTCGATTGGGCTAATAACACCATCTGTTTTTTTTTTTTGCGTTTTATCAAGTATTAAGTGAAATTAAGTGAAAGCTACATTTTCATTAGTGAGTTTAACTTCTTTAGCACAACATAATCTGTCTTATATATTGACGTCTTCAAGTTACGCTCCTATGCATCGCTCATTCCGTCACATAACTATTCTTTTTTTTTTAATTATGGTTTTAAAATCTGATAGTATTATTTTGAAAACATGATGAAATCATGCAAAGGTGACAGGGCTCAATGACAAAATATTTAAAGCTCCCCGTGTCTGCTGTAAATTCGTGGACTCTCCTTTCAGCTGCATCCAGGGTACATGATATTCCTCGTAGAACACTCCGTCGAGAGAGATCTCCTCTAAACAAGCATGGAGATTATGAAAAACAACTCCACCAAAGACTCGTACGTTTAGAACTAGTTGGTTTTGGACTTACACGAAATGCTGTTTTTAGGTTTTGCGTTCAAATAACCAAGGAACACAGCATGCAGAATCCTTGGAATGGCAGGATGATGGGAAAAGTCTGATTTATTTACGTTCTGAGAAGACAACCAGGCTTAACTCTTAGTAAAGCAAAAAATGTAAGCTGTGGCCGACTGATGAGATTTAACATTGAACTCGTAAATGATTTCTTCAAACTTTCGAGGCAAATAATGGTCGCTATGAAGTTGCACCAGTGGCCTCATTTAATAAACAGTTTGGAAGAGACAGGATTTAAGTGACTTGCAATTCTGGCAATCAAAGGCTGTTGGGTGTAGAAGGCTGTAAAAGAGTTCCTACTTCTGCTCACGGAGAAAATGGGGAAACCGTAACAGTAGTCTGCATGGATGAAGGTGGAAGCGAGTGTATTACCCCAGTGGTTCTGTATAAAGGAAAGTACTGAAGGGAAAGTTTGTAGAAGATCTCAATACAGGAATACCTTAGTACCCCAAAGGATCACAGAACAACATAAAAGTTTTGCAAATTTTTGCGTTGTTCCAATCATCATCTGCTACCTGGAAGAACCCTTTTAATTCTCGATGGTCATCGAGCTCATGTCAATTCCTCCGTCATTATTGAAACGAAAAAGCTGAAAATTCAGTTACTTTGTATTCATGCTCACTGAAGCCATGAGCTCCAGCCACTGGACAAAGGTTTTTCCATCCTTTGGAATATTACTGGAATGAGGCTCTGGGCAGTTACAGGAGGGAGGATCATCGAAGAGGAATTGGTTAACTTCAGTTTTCCAGACTATTAATTGAGGCTTGGTTGAAAACTGCCACCACAAGATTTGCAGTAGCTGGGTTCAGATCCGCGGGGATTTATCCATTTAATCCGGACGTCCTACGCTTTTCCATCTGTCTCATGGCGTCCGTTACACTGCAACGTCAACCGAGGCTGAGAAACCCCATCAGGAAATACAAATCAGGAATGGCCGACAACTCATACGAGTAGATAAGTAACAGTTACTTGCTCGACGTCAGTAGGTCGTTCTATCCGGGAGACAACCCCTTCTCCAAAAACTGTCCCATACTAACGCTTCTCAGCGATCCGTCAATATTAATTCGACTTTCGTTACCAAAAATCTCTTTAAGAGTAAGTCAGGGAGAGGAACATCTAGACACCGAGGTGACTAAAAGGGGGAAAAGAGAGGAAGAAGATAAGAAAAGTCCTTCGGGTCTCAGTTTTTGTCACTGAGTTAGATTATTAAGGTTTCCAGCTGTCCGACACCTTTCACAGTCAGGAAAATTTAAAGGGCAGTAGACTTCTAGAATTTTGTGATTGTCTTAATGGAGCAGTTGTAACCAGTACTTCGCGAACCGATAAACCGGAAACGTTTAATAAACAAAAAGATAACTGACAGTTTAAATTCACTGTATTATGTAATTATGTGAGAGGTGGGGATTAGTGTGTAAGACTTAACGAACAGCATATGTCCACCGAATGGAAGAGTACGGAGACCTCCAAAATAAGTTCTAAATACGAAGACGTCGATCCGGACGCCCTTTGGGAAGACAGCCTGATGCCGTGAACGCTGAGACTCCCTAGAGGCTAGTATGTGACCTAACTCAATGATTGGACAACGATTTAAATTTAAGTATGACTAATTTCTTTTAAAATAT